ATCTCCACTTAGGCAATTACTATAATTAAGGGACAATACTGGAAGCCAAATCCCTGTTGTAAGGCAAATCAGGTAAAACACACAGAACAAGGTGCTTGAAATGGCTGAGTGATGAAATATGCATGTGCTGGTTAACTTTGCTGTTGACATCAGCAAGAACAAAAATAATTATTTCTGTTTGCCTGAGCTCATCAAAGCCTCTCGTTTAACAGATGGAAAACAAAACTGATTACATCCTGTGCGAATGCAGGTTGTGAGACAAGCATGCTTAGCGGGGATTCAAACTCTTAAAGGATCAAGGCATGGCCGTGGCCAAGTGCCCTTGCTTTTCACCAGTAGGATCCCAGCACATTAACTCAGATTAGGATAGGAGAGAAATGAAATCATTGCTCTCATCCTTCTCCACTTGTGCAAATATCTCAGAGTGACCACAAACGACAGCTCCAGCACGAAGCAGACCAAAGAGATTATGCACTGTATGTTCAAGTAGTAAAATATTCCCATTTTCTTGAGTGGGTAACACTGCCATGCAAGTCGTGACTGAGGCACCCACAGCCCTAGCCAAATTTCACTGAACACAAGGCAGCCCAGCAGAACGAGTTTAAATATTTTCCAGTGTCACAGGTGGCAAAGTTTCAGTCTGCAGTGTGGTTCTGGTTCAGCCCCAACAGACAGCAAGCCATGAGGGCATCCTTTGCAAATCTGAGTCCATTTCTGTGATCGATTGCTCTCTTACTCGATGCTTCCCCAAACAGACTTATCAACAGCATGAAATTTACATGAGGGGGAAGAGCTCTCAAAAAATTTAAAATAAGAATATAAACAATGGATGGCTGAGTTTCCAAGAAGACAAGGGGAGTCCATCAGATTTGTGGCTAAGAAATTTAAAAGGCTGGATTTAACCTTACTCTAGTCACGTTTTTCCTAATAAACTTGAACCTGTGCAGCATTCCTTGATTAATAACCATAGGCCTAAATGCTTCTGCTCCCTGTGCCCATGAGCACTACAGCTCTGGCATGCAGCAGATGCATCCCTCCGACACATGGACTGGGAGGAAGGGCATCAGGCTGTGACACCAACCGTGCTGGTATCATCACATGAGGGTCTTCTGCCTCAAGACAAAAAAAAAGAAAGATCGGATGCATTTCCTATTTATCTCCTTTATGGAAAGAAAAATTGTTCCTTGGTATGAAGCTCTTAAGCACGTTTCTGGGCTCGCAGCTGTGCAGCCGTTTCCCATACGGTGCATCAGCAAGAACCCGCAGTGCTCAGTGTGTGGCACAGCACCCTGCCCTGCCAGGGGCAGCACTGACTGCTGGGGCCGGCGCTGGCTCTGCAGTTTGGTTTTTCCCACTCAGATCTCAAAGCCATTCAAGCTTTTCATTCATTACGCCCCATCCTTGGAGGTGTTCAAGAACAGGGTGGATGGGGCCCTGGGCAGCCTGGATTAGCATTAAACGTGGAGCTTGGTGGCCCTGTATGTGGCAGGGGGTTGGAGATTCGTGATCCTTGAGGTCCCTTCCAACCCTGGCCATTCTGTGATCCAAGCCGTGATAGCAGTGTGCTCTGAATCCCAACTCTGCAGAGATGTAAAAATAAACTAAGTCGCAAATGATCCGGGCAGTGCCATGGGTCACACACCACGTCAGGCATGGACACAAGTTTTTTGGGATGCTCTGCATTACGGAACAGAATACACAATAACATTTTCTGCCCCAACTTGTGCTGTGCCATCATCCATCCACAGACCATCATGGCTCCAAATTTACAGCTCTGCAGCCTGCAATTTCATTCATGCAGGTATTAGTGAAATGTGCAGCGTCCTTGTGATGATCTACAGCACCTGCAGGACCGCAGCCTTGCTTTCAAACTACATAACCATAGAGCAGATTTCGTTTTTAAGGATGGATTTATGCTATGGATCTGTAGCACAACAAACACTGGAGCAGAAGGGAAATAAACAGCTTAAAAGCAAACGTAAATACTGTGATTTAGTCTGAACTAATATTTACAGAATTAAAGAAAGAAAGAGTCTGCTCTTAATTGCACGGGTATAAATTATGAACAGCGTTGTACCAAAACCCCTAATTAAACTATCACAGATAAATATCAGTTTAACAGAGCTGTGGATGCCGCAGCTTGCTGTAGCTGCTGTTTGCATTAAAAGTGCAAGAAGGAAGAAGCACACATGCTGTGCATTGAATTAAAAAATGACAGTAACTCTCAGCTCCTTTCAGCTGCCTGCAGACCAGGAGAGGAGCAGTGCTGCTGTCACTCCCAGCAGGGCCAAGGCCCTCTGTGCACTCATAGGGGCACAGCTCAAACGTGCTCATGGACACATCCCTGGTGCCTAGCCCCTCTGCAGCAACGCCTCACATCCATCAGTAGGGGTGACTAATTAAAACAACGCCTTCCCTCCCGGCACGTTCTGACACCTTGCTCCTCCAGCACCAAAGAGCAACGCGGGTTCTCTCTTCCTACAGCACACGTAGGTGAGGAGCTCCCTGACTGCAACCCGTGGGGACAAGGGGACATCACTCCTGCTGCCAGGGCAACCCCATTGATGCCCCACATCATCACATCCAACTCACGCAGCCCCAAACAGGCTGGAATAAAGGGTGCAGACTGTGGCTATGTGTAAGCCTCCCACAGAACGTGCTGGGTGCAGGATTTATTGCAGGGTAAGGCCCTGTAAGGCCTTTCTGAAAGGAACTCCGACCAGATCACATTGATTAAATCCCCTGAGGCAGACGAATCACAGAATCATTAAAGTTGAAAAGATCATCTAAGACCATTAAATCCAACTCCACCCCAGCCCCACTGTGCCCACTGACGTGTTCCCAAGAGTCCATCCCTGCATTCTGGAGCACCTCTGGGGATGGTGAGCCCCACTCCCTGGGCAGCCCATGCTCATCCATCACCGATGGAAATTTCTCCTGATACCCAACCCGAACACTCAAGCATCCTCTGCATGAGCAGAAACCTCCAAGTGCTCCTGATCCCCATCACACCGCAATGGGCTCCATGTCAGCACTGTCATGAATATATCCCCAGAATATCCCCCAGCGTGCACAGGTCAGGAAGGATGAGTCAGCTTTGCTTCACTTTCTGTCATTTTTCTCTCCTTTTTTTTTTTTTTTTTTTTTTTTTTTTCCTAAACCAAACCCCTCAGGACGGACAGACGGACTCCATTACCCTCCAGCAAGAGCTGTCCCCAGCGAGGCTGTGACGAGGCAGAACGGACGCAGCTCCCCGCTGCAGCCGCCCAGAGCTCCCAGGGCAAACCCGACTCCCTCCCGTTCCCAGGCGGCCATTTCCCCCCACCCCGAGAACCGAATTAGAAGAGAAAGAGAAACTAACCCGGCAAAGGGACGCGGCTCGGCTGCTCGGGGCTTCTGGGGTAACACGAGGCCACCGGCCGCCTCCCCGCGACTCCCCGCAGCCGGAGCGAGGCAGGGCAGGGCAGGTGCCAGGCGCGGCTGCCTACCTTCGCTCCGACACCAGGAGCCCCGCGGCTCAAAGCTCCCCTCAGCAGCGGCTCCCGACCCGGGGGGCTCCGCCACGCCCGGCCTCAGCTGTCACGGCCCCGGAGCCGCGCCGTGATTTCGTAACAGGGTGCCGAACATTACGTAAGAAAACAGTTATTCGCCGTTGTGACGCGCCTCGGAGGGCAAAAAGGCGAACCGCCATCGGCTGCCACCCGGCACCGGCCATTCCCCCCCCCCAACCACGCAGCGCGGCGACCCGGCGACCCGGACCCCCCTCGCCCTACCTGGCCCCGCCGCGGCGGCAGCACCGCGCGCTGCGCTCCGCTCCCGGTGCCGCCTCGGGCTGCTGCGGCTCCCCCTGACCCCGTCCCCTTCCGGCCCGGCGCGTCCCCGGCCTCTGCGGTGGCGGCTGCGTGACGGCGGGCGGGGACGGCGGGGAGGGGACGGGCGGCGGGGGCGGGACGGGGCGGGCTCTGCAGCCGCACCGGGAGCCGGGAGCCCTTCCCGGGACTCGGCGGCACCGAGCGACCCCGGCTGGATCAGGACGCAGCACCCCCGAAGCGGCACCGAGGGACCGGCGGAGCGCGGCCCTCAGCCCCGGCTGGAAACTGTGTCGGGTTGGAATCCCCGTTCCCGCAGGTAGCTGGGCGGGCTGTGAGTCAGCAGGCGGCCAGCATCCCGGGGCACGGCCGACCGCGGGGCGTGGAGATGCTCCGGTGAATGAGGACGTTGGGCGCCTTTCAGAACTGCCTCTTGGAGGCGTGAATCAGCCTCAGCTGGGGCTGACTCCAAACCCACGTCCTCCCTGTGACAAAGCGCAGCAAAACCCTGCTGTCAGAGATAGGAACCCGTCCGCTCCGCTCTGCCGGAGGCTCCGATCGTCCCCCAGAGATAAGCAGCACCAATCCGCCCGGAGAACTGCTGGTCCTGATATGGCCCTACTAGCCGCGGCATATGGGGAGAGGGGTTGTCAGAAAAATCGTTACAAAGGCTCCACATCCCATCCGTGCAAAGTTTTTTATGATTATTTTTAACAATGATTCCTTGCTTTCTTTTTCTCCTTCACATATCAGGAGCAGATAGCAAAGCAGCGTGTTTGCTTGGCTCACCCCATCGCTTTCCCAGCAGCGCTGCCCCATAAATTTGCACAGCTCTTTGCACTGCGGTCACAGGAGATCAGAGTCATCCGCTGGAAAACAAACCCAGAGCACACGGCACTCGAGAACTGCATCAACATAAACCAGGGGCCTGGGAAGGCCCCTCTGCAGGGCCCTAGCAGCCCCAGAGCTGGGCCACAAGCCCAGAGGTGGCTCAGCTCAGCCCATGTTTTCGCCCCATGCTGTGGTCCAGCTGTCATTTCTGTTGTTCACTTCATCCCCTTCTTGGGAGTGGATGAGCATTTCCTATCAGATTGGAGCAGATCTATTTTCCAGTTGATGGAAAGCTCCCGTGTCTGCATTCAAGCAGAACTGTAAAGGCCATAAGCAGGCTGTAAAGGAGCAGGTGTGGGAACGTGGCGTGCAAGGAGCACATTGCTTGTCTGTAGTTAGGGAACATAAAGAAAAGAAAGAAGAGCATAAAGTATGCGTGAAGAGCTGAGATCCTCTGCAGAGATTACAGCCTATTCCCTCCATCTTTCCCTAATTTAGGGGATTTTTATATCCCAGAGGACTCGCAGTGAGGGCACGGGTAGGACCGGAGATGTCTGCGTGATGCAGCAGTGGGTGAAGGAGCTGCGAAGCGGAGGCGCTCAGGGAAGGACCGTTGGCAGCACTTTGCATGACGCGCCTGCCAGCAGATGGCAGCAGACGCCCTGGGATGGAGCTGGCAGCGGTGGCAGCTGCTCTGCAGGGCTCTACTTCCCATCCACTCCATGAGCTGCAAATTGCGCTGGTGAGTGCCGGATAAACGGGGGATCACACCGCCTGTCCCCAAGGGGGAAATCTCTGCTTGTGATGTCACCTGATAGGAAAGAGGTTCCAGCAGCAGAATAAGAGCATTTAGATATTTAGAGCATTTTACTCTAGACATCAATTCCCTCTCCTGCTTTGGCTGTCCGTGGTTTGGGTAACGCTGTGTCTTAATTTACTCTTCCAGGTGGAAACAGAATAACAGAGAATACATAAAGATGGATTCCACAATTAACAAGCCCCCAGATAATTCACACACAAGGTCCACCCAAACGTTCTTCACCGCTGGAAACTTTGGCACTCAGAAAGGTTTGCGTTTGGTGGAAAACCTGAAACCGTTCCTCTCTTTGTTACATAAATCCGACAGGATTATTTCTAAGCTCTGTGCCGTATCCCCGGCGCTGTGCGGCTGCGACCCTGCATTGGGTGCAGTTTCATGCAGTGTGAGCAGGAAATAAACGCGAGTCGGGCACAAAGCCGTGGATCAGCGCTCCGGGCTGTGCGCCTGCTGTGCCCTCAGCGCCTTCTGCCGGTGCTCAGCTCCGCGTCTGCTTGGAGCGGCGGTGGTGATGCACAGGGCACGGGATGGGCAGCCCTTCTGTGTCAAAACGTGCTTCTTCCCGTTCCGTTTGTCACAACCCGGGGGCAGGAAGCAGCACTTTCATTCATCGTTTTTACACGGCTAACATACACGAAGTTGTGGGGTTTTTTTTTCCTTCTGTTTCCAGTAAGAATTATCTGCCTAAAACAAAATTACAAGGGGAAAACACTGCTTAAATGCCCCATGTTGTGTGTTTTACATTAATAGCTAGGGCTGATTTAAACACAGCTTCATTCCTATCGCTGAAGGAAGTAAGAAAAGAAGACCATCAGAAAATAAAGGGGGACCACAATAACAGCAAACTCCCACAGCTTCTTTTGATCTCAGAGAACAGCAGTGAGATGTCCCTACAGCCACAGTGTTTTCTGAATCTACATGACCACCTTATCTTGGAAGCAACGATTTTACAAAGATTTGGTATGCGAGATAAGTGATAAAAACCTGCCAACATTCTTTGTAGGCTATTTAAACTCAAAGAGCTGCTGTAAAAGGAAGCGTTGGTATTAATTTGGCAGATAAGACTTCCACTTGTGGTCACAGGGCTGCAAACCAATGTGATTAATACAATGCAGTCTGGCACTTCAGGGTTTCGCTGTGCAGTCAAGAACAAAATGCAGGAGTGCAAACTTACAGGTGGCTGAGCTACGGGTGTGCGCCCTCAGCCCTAAACAAAGCTGCATTTCAGTAGCCAATAAAGCAGGACACATTCAGCCTGCAAGTCTGTCCAAAGCACAGAGGTGAGCACATAACACAAGATATCCCGCGTCTCTGATGCTGCTCACAAAACGATTCTGTTGTTGCCAGATGACTCTGGCTACAATCAGCTCTGAGGATGGTGGAGATTACTACAGAGTAATGGAGTAAGACAGCAGAGCGAGTTCAACTTTTTAGTGTTAACAAATAGCATTAAGTTGTTGCACATCCCAGAGTAGATAGATACACCCACACAGGAGGGTGTACGTGGATGGTTCTGGCAGCGTCTGCTATTTCACATGCAGCTTTTCACCTCCTTCCAGGCAGTCTGACAGGGAAGCAATGTGCCCACAGAGAGGACCTTGCTGGGAGGAGCTGGAATGGATGTGGTCAGGGGGATGGCAGTGATGGGTTGGTGCTTGGACTTGATGACCTTAGATGTCTCTTCCAAACTTAAGGATCCTATGGGGCCCATCAGACAGCTCTCAAACCCATTCCACCACACTCCAGTCACCCTGCTCAGATATCCCCAAATATTCAGACTGGTCAGCTAACGCTGGCTGGCAAGAATAGCATGGACACATCAGAAACTTGAGAGGAAGGATGACATGGTCAGGAGACAGCAAGAAGAAATACTTTCCTCAGCCCTTTAAGCAAGGCCTGGCATCAGATTAAAGTCAGGCTTTGAGTGCAGCTGTAATTGCATTCCTGGTTGGAAACTGAGAACTGCATTAGCACGAGACAAGTGTGCAGCTGAAGTCAGGGGACTGCTCCATGAAAAAAAAGTTGTGTTTTTTTTTTCCTGGAAGGTGGAGGAGGATCACTGAGCTGGAAGAGCTGCACCACATCTGCTCCCAGCTCCTCAGATGGGAGCCCTGTGGTTGTTACAATCCACACCTCCCAGCCCAGAGCCAGCCCTCGTGTTGGGCTATAGGAGTGCATGGGGGAAAAAGAAAAAAAAAGATTTATTCCTAAAGGAATATTTCCTACAGCTGGTGATGAGCAGTGCTATAACCTCCCAGCCACATCTGCCACCCTGCTGAGCCTGGCAGGGACGAGCAGTGACTGACTTGAGCCAAGAATACTTAAGACTTTTTAGTTCTGTGTTTACACAAAAACAGAGGCCTGTTCCTCCTTGGGATTTGGTTTCCTGTCTGCATCCAGCCTGGCCTAAGTCCAGCAAGAAGGACAGTAATAACAGCTTGCTGTAAAGATGTGTTGTCTGGAAGAAATGCAGCCCTTTGATCTACTCCACCTTGGACAAGGGAAAGGCAATTTTCCACTCGGCTCTGAGAAACAGCAGTTGCGGTGTGGAAATGCAGTTCCATTACTCCAAGAGGTTCAGTACACAACCCCTGTAAGAGCTGGGACTGTCTTTGAGGGCTTTGCCACTGCAAATCCATAAAAGAACAGCCTAGGAGGCTCCTGCAAGGCCTGAACCTGTCCGAACTGCAGCAGAAAGGGAGACAAGCCCAGAGAGAGCAAACCAACTGCTGACAAATGCACAGCATTGTGCAACAGGAATTCCTACAATAATCACCAACAGAACAAGGCAGAGGTCAACCAGAACCACGGACTTGAGGCTCCTGGGACAGAGCACAGCAGTGTGGCACTTCCCAGGGCTACAGGGCAGTTTGGATGTGCTGTGCATTCCCTGCCCTCAGAAGTATGTTCAGAAGGACATAAAATGACACGTCCTGTGCCAGGATGAGATCAGCTCACATGTGCCATCTAGTGATCCTGGTATTACATGGAGGGAGACTTCTCCCGGCAGGATCAGAAATGCTCAGGGAAGTTTGAGGAGCAAACCTCAGTGCTCAGAGCACCCCGTCCCACACTGCTCTGCAGTACGTGGCTTGTGCTTAAATCTTACATGTCCACATGTGTATGCAAAAAATATGTCTGGCAAAATTGGAAACTAAACAGCAAGGGAAGAACCAAGGCTGAAACCTGAGAACACCACACAATTTCTATGAGTATGTTAATCAAAGATGTGCTGGGACCATTATCCAAAGGCAGAGCATGCCTGCACACACACAGAGCCCTGGGGCTGGCAGGACTTACCAGGCCATGAGAGCAGCCTCAGACACATTGTGGGTTGGGTGTTAGAGATGTGAACCTGCTCTGTCAATCAGACACAGGCACTGAGCTCCAGCAGCCCCCAAAATTCATTCCAGCTGTGACACAACCAATTTGAATCCCAACGCAGGACAACCACACCTCACACAGGATTATTATAACTCACCACCTTCTGTAAGAAATACTCTTCCAGAGCACAAGAGGCGCAGAGAAGAACAAATAGACAATTCCCTTCCCAAAGCTGTTCTTCCCAGGCACCTTGCCCCTCTGTGTTACCAGTCCCAAACCCCAAAAGCTTCATTTACCACTGTTGAGACAGTTTCCAGTTCTAGGAGACTAACTCCCTTTTCCTACCAGAAGTGGGATGCTCCTTAGAGGACTGCATGTCCCCAGGAGAACATACCCAGACCCAAAATGCTCTTCCATTCTCCTCTAAGGGCAGCTAGAAGATGTCTCCAGATTTTCCCTAAACTTTAATCGCCTGCTCCTTCACTAAGATGAATGGTTCGACTCACTTTCAACCCTCAAATGATTGCCCTTTTCCCTGAAACAACTACAGATTTTATCTCTCATTTCCCTATCCACCTACTCTCATATTTAAGTTTATACCTGAAAGCCCTGAATTCTTCTTGCTTGCTTTTCATGGCCTGCAGCTTCTCTTTTAACATTAAGAGCACTGTTCCTGGCAAGACATTAAGGTGCTCCTCAGGTGCCAGCCTGAAAGACATAACTGCACCATTTGCATTCATGTTTTGATAGTGCCTCCATCCCTACTGCTGGGGCGCCTCCCTCAGCAAGAAATCTGGTTGTCCCCGTTCTCTTGGCCCTAACCTTTCCTCTTTCCATCAGATTGCTCCAGCTGAGAAGGGCACCCAGCACAGCAGCAGGGACAGTGCCTGGCTCAGCCTCCGGCACCACAGCTCTCTTATGCTCCAGGTTTCTCCTCTTGCAGGAACCTCATCGACCGGAGGGGAACTTAAAGCCTCCACCAACCTGCAAGTTGGGCGATGCTTTGACAGGCTGCTCACAAACTCAAGAATAGTTTCTCTTTCATTTTGCGTGCCCTGATGAAGTCATGCTGCTCATTCCCAGTGCTGGTTTGTATTCCGCAATGGAGGTTTAGTTCCACAGCAGCTATTCCCTGTTCCTTTCTTCCCTGCTCCATTTGGAGACCCAGTGCCCTCTGAATCCCATCCCCAAAGTCCACCTCCATCTGTGCCTAAGCCTAAGATTTCTCACAGAAGTAGCAAAGAGCTTTGTGTGCCTTCACTGTTAAGTTATAGCCAACAGCTCAAGGAGGGCACAGCCAGACCTTCACTGGAATGTGCCATGGGATGATGTGAGCATGACATCCAGAACTCAAGGTGACCAGCTGATATTGTTATGACAGCAGACTTTAAGTCACACCCTGTTTTAATTCAGTTTCAAGGCTTCAGGAAGAAAATTTGGGCCTGGAACTATAAAGTGCAGGAAGATAAGCCACAGAAACATGCAAAGCCCTCAGCAATTCTGGGCAGTGCTACACATCCTGACAACTAACAGCTGCTCGTGCTCTGGGCAAGAATTATCACTTTGCTCCCAAGTTTCCTACATCCCCTGGGGAAATCCACTCTCATGCTCTCCCTTGGCAAGGTCTCATCAAATGGAAACACAAGTGAAGAAATTTATTCATTCTCATTTAAGGACCAACAAGTTCTGCAGTGGCAGCTGCCCACACATCCTGTATCCCTGTACCTGCTCCGAGCTTAACCACATAACCCAGAGATGACAAGTTAGAAATTCCCCAAAGAGCAGAGCCCACAGCCTTCACTCTCAAGGCCATGGATGGTACTTCCCATGCTGGAAACCACTCCTTGTTTGATCCTGCAGCATACACAAAAATCAGGGAGAAGAAGGACTGAGTCAACTTTATTTTTCCTAATATTACTGTGCAAAAGGCACCTTCTGAGACTAGCTTTGGAGAGGAGCACAGCAGCAGCCTTCCTGCAACATTCACAGGCTCTTGCAGATCATCTGCAGCAGCAGTCCCACCACGACCGTGTGTGGCACACATACGTTACAGCTGAGCCCCAAACAGAAATGGGCTGCGAACTTTCCCAGGGCAGATCACACACAAGGCGTTAACACTTGGTTCCACTTTGAAGCCAGGTTTGACCTAGTTTAGGTCTTCCTCTCTCTCTGTTAGTTCCTTTGGCTCACACGAGCTCTTCTGGAGGAGTTTGGCAACTGGGAGGCGTTGGTCTCATCCCATCTCCCCCTCCATCCAGCTCAAAGCATCAAGCTGCACTTATGCCAGCTTCCCCTCCAGCCCTGACCCTTCCCACCTCTACCCACACTCAGCAGGCTAAGCAAGAAGCTGAAAGGCTGGCAAGAGCCACCCAAAAATGCCCCCAAAAGCTCAGTAAGCCATGCACCCAGCAAAGCATCGCAGCAAAGGTGCAGAGCTGCTCTGCACAGCACCTCTCTGAGCCAAGTAGGTCACAAGAAAGTCAGCACAAGGTTTTCCCCTTCTCAAAAGCATCATCATCTGCTTGTGGAATAGCTGCAGTGGAAGATATTGCAGCAATATACCATATGGCAGCATCGTGCAAAAAATCTCATTTGCAAGCATTTTCAGAAAGTGTCATATTGAAGGAAAGAGGTTAAAAGCTTCTAGGTTTATAGGAAGAAGGGTATTTTTGCTTTCTTTAAAAAAAAAAAAAAATAAGGTCAGATTAAACAAATGGGATTTGTTCTAATGATGGCTGCTCAGTGTGTTCCTTCATACAAGTCCATAACATCAGTGCAGAGTTCCCTTACCAACACCAGGGCTCTCCAGCCCCAAGCACAACTGCTGCACTGCTGTAGCTTGTGGTTATCCCAACAATTTAAGGGCTCTTCACTCAGCTTCTCAGAAAAACCAATGTGGGGACAGGTTTTGTCCAGCCTTCCAAACTTCTCTTGATCATATAGACTCACAAATGACCTTTAATCTCTCTGAAATCAAATAACTCTGTCTAAAATCCTGCACAATCACTGTACAAAAGTGGCACCAGAAGCCATTACTCCAGCCATTTGATGGCCTCAGCTATAACAGAAAGAACAGAGTCATTCCACAAGGACAGCAGAGGTGCATGCAGCTGCTTCTGACACTGGCACAGAGCGACCTCATGGTTGTTTGAGCATGTTTCCAGCACCTTCCTGAAGCACCTGACTGTCACCTCCCTCCTACTCTTCCATTTGCTTCTGTATATTGAAATTCATTACTTGAAGGAGCTGTCTGTTTTTCTGAGCTAAGAGGAATACAGTCTGTGACAATAGAGAGGCTTCACAGATCAATCATGCTTTCAGAACAGCGCAACTTCAAACACACTTCAGTTGTGTTCCCCCTTCAAGCTGGCACACAAAGTTGTTGGAGCCCTTTATACTACAGCAGCAAGACTGGAGACCTTAAAAGACACGTAGATGTCATGTGCTCTGCGCAGGGCGTTGGAGGCAATGAGCACCAGGTGCACTGAGCATTATCTCCTGTGGTCACCTACCACAGCCTTTGTCACCAGCTGGACACCAGAAAAATGCAGCATCACCATTTCAAAACCCATTCCCACGTGCACCTCGAGCAATCTTGTGCAACCTAAAAATCAGGAGTCTGCTGGTGTGATCATTGTGGTCACCCCGGTGTGTTCAGTCCGTTACAAGCAAGCACTTTGCATTAATGGTGTCTATAGCCTTGAAAGTCCACGTGCATTTTAGAAGCATCTGGACTAATTAGCAAAATCCACATAAGAAAGCTCAAGTTCCTCCCATTTCATTAAGAAGATCAAGAGGTTAAAGAGCAGCTTTTCAAAGGTGACCAGCACCTAACTGCCTTCTGGTCCCGAGCAGCAGTGCAAGCTGCATGCCCTGGCTGTGCCAGAACCAGCGCCCTCTCCCAGGAGCTCTGCTGCAGACACCGGTTCTGCTCCCACACACACAGACCTCCTGCACCTTTGACAGCAGCCCTGTTTGCTGGTACACAAAGGTAGCATTAGCAAGGAGCAAGCCATGACCACAGAGCCAAAGAAAATGAGATCTGATCTTTGAATACACCTGAGAAGTCAACGCATTTCAACTGCTCAAATAGTCTTCTTCAGCACTCAGCCAGAGCCAGACAGGGAGAGATAGGATGAGAATCTTTTTAGGGGTTTCTGGTGAAATCTTTCTATGAAACAGAAGGTAACACCACAGAAGCTGACAGTGCCCTTATTCCTCCGGAATAGATGACAGTAGATGTGCACACTCCTCAGCCCAGCCACGCTTCCAGACCAAGCACTGGCTGCCATCTCCTGCCCAGTATAGGTGTCCTGCTCCATACCAGTATTCACCACGTACACTACCTGTCCCATCAGCTGACTATGAAGAAAAGCTAAGGCTTTATCAGTAGCACAGCAACATCTCTGGATTCTGAGGAGAATGTGTGCAGCTCTGCATTCTAGAAGACAGAACTAGAATTCTTGATTTAGCCATGCAAGCACTCCAAGAGCACTTCCCTGTGAGTTTGGACATGTTAGTTTAACACAAACAAGGGATGCGTTATGTTAGCATGGTAATCTCCTTCCCAGGTTAGTTGATATCCAAGGGATGTGTGGTTCAGTGAGACAGAGGAGTTCTCCTGTGTCTGAGTCACCTCAACAGCGCCTGGGAGCTCCCATGGGCACTGGGATAGGACCAGCAGCTTCCAATGGGCTCCTCCAGGGATCCCAACAGTCAGGGATTGTATCTGCCGTGGTCACACCTTCTGAGTCTCATCTGTGTGTTCCTGAGAGCCTGTAAGTACAGCTGAACACCGGATAAAACACAGGAGGGGACATTAACATCGTTTAGGTCTTGGCCATTGAAGAGATTCTTTTGTGGATATCCCTAAAACCCCAATTTAGGTAATTATTAATAAGACCTATGTACATTCCCTGATACTTGTTCTTCGCTGGCTTTCTCACTGCCAATAATTTTCGTGGTTTGCCTGTCTCCCAGAAAAACCTTGCTTACTTTCCTAATTAAAATTCCTTGTGGCCATCATCTAAGCACTCGTAATCCAAAAAAAACTCAAGCCATTGCACAAACCAGATCCAACTCATACCTAATATAAGCCCATTGCAACGGAGTCAACAGCTACACCCAAAACCAACGAACCAAAGCCTGGAAGCAGCACCTGGGCTGCCCAGCCTCCCTTGTGCTGCTGTGGGATTTCTCTCTACCAGATCTCCTTGAGATTCTGAGCAATGTAGTTTGCAAGAAACCAACGTGTGCCTTTAAGACGTCGTTTCCAAGGGCACAGCCAGATAATTCAACTGCATTTGCTTCTCCCTACATCTCCCCACACTGCACTAATGAACGTTGGCCTCCTGATGTTGGAACCTTACAGCACCACAGGCTGTGACCACCTTAAGCACTACTCAGCCAAGCTTGCCTCATTCTACCAGTTTAACCTTTCTTCTCCAACACCCCAAATAGTTTTTGCCCTTCTCACAATTCTTAATTAGCTGAAGAAAAACCCCAAACCCCAGTGATGCCCAAACCTGAACGCAGCCACTGCTGAGGAATATGTAAGATCATGTGGTAGTGGGTAATACCATGAAAATGCCCATTTGTCTGGATAACTGAGATCCATTCCAAAATCTCACCTAACAAGGAAACTCCAACACACCACCCTAATACCAATTATTAGCTTCAAAGGCAGCAGAACAGACTAATGCTGTAGACAGATAATATCATACATCCCTGTATTAAAGCAAGCACAAATGATTTAATTTCATTTCACCTGGAAAGTTCTGGCTCTCCTATTTATTGCACTGGTCCCTGTGTGTCATGAGAATGGCATCAGCCGTGCTGACCCAGCTGCCACCAGTCCTGTCCACAGCCGCAGGCCACGCTGGTGGCACCGTGCCTTGGCCAGCAAGAGCCACAGCATGCCCTGATGGTGCCACTGGTTAAACAGAGGTCAAAATGAGACTCTGAGGGAAGAGTTAATCATTAACTTCGGATATTAACTTTTTTTTTTTTTTTTAAAGACACCCAGGTTACAATGGGGGATACATCTGGTTGGTATTGCTACAATGGGTATGGAAGAAGTTGAGGGGCATTTGAGCCATGCTGTTACAGGGCATCTTCTGACCCCATCCAGTTTTAACAAGGCATTTTATTTTCAGTGCAGCAGGGCTTCAGCAGCTCACAGGAAGCTTTAACTCGCTTATTTCATGGAACAACGTGTCCCAACACATGCTGAGGGCGCAGCGCAGGGCAGTCAGGCTGTGCTGACTAATGAATGGAGAGACTGCCCAGGTCAACGGGATCGTCCAGGCTGAAACCGGTGTTTGTGCAAGCTTGTGAGTTGACCCTACTGCAAGAATTACCTTGCATCTTTTCTCACCAACATCTGAAGGCATGCTCTTCTCACAGCTGCTACTCTGGTGCCCTGTGTTGCTGGATCTTCCCATTCTTGTCAATAAAAGCCCAGGGAACCTCCTCAGCCCTGCTCCAGGTCAGTGTCCTACAGCAGGTTGTGCAAGATGATGAGGAACAGAAAGACCATGCTGCAGCCCTGCACCACATGGACTGATTGGAAATGCAAGGAGGGGTACAGCGTAGTTAAAAGAGAATATCTGCATAATGTGTTTACCTTTAATTGCCAGGAATAAATTCCACAAATGTTTTATGTGCCTCTTCCAAAGCTTCTGGTTGGAGCTCTTTACAAAGGGGCTGTAGGTCCTTCAGCATAACCCTGTGCATCTGGCTTCATTCACTGAGCAGTTTCTTTCCTCATGTGGTTAAAAAACAAAAGCAGTTGATGTATCTGCACAGAGCAAGAGTGGGGCCAGCCACGGTCAAAGCTACTGCAGCCTGAAGCTGGGTCCAGAGCTGACAAAATAGCCCATCATCTTTTCTCTGTTCTCAGAGGGGGAGAGAATTAGTTGCTCTGTGCAACAGGGGCCACTGCAGAGCCTCCAGCATGTGAGATCTGAGAGGAGAAAAAAAATCATGGGCAGCTCCATAGAGTGCAGACAGGAGTAATGACTCCATGAAGTCAGGCATCAGCCGTTCAGCTCCCCACTGCCAGAACAGCAGGTATAAGAAATCCTCATGCCACAAGGATGTGACAGAGCTGCAAAAACAATGAGAAGGCTTTGCATGAAGTGCTGCAGAAACATGAAGCCTTACTTGCATTTTCTTCTACTATACCCTATGGAATTCTGTAGCAGAATTGAATAATCTCTACTCACATGCTGGCTATAAAGCCACCAGAAACCTCACAGTCACTGCATTCTACAGCCCCCCCCTACACACCTCAGAGAGACTCTCTAGGGCTTTGATCTGTGCCTTAGGAGTCAAACCTCTGGATGCATCTCTTCACCTGGTAGAGGTCTCCAGCCATAAGGGCTCTTTAGCAATTCCCTCTGCTCTCTTGGAGTGAAATGCATTACTGTGCAGAGCCAGTGCAGGGTCTGCATTTCACTTCAGTCTCTCTTAAGCCAACAAAAAGAAGGGTATTTGCTTTGAAAAAAAGCTACAAATTTCACTTTGGCAAAAACAACAGCAATTGCTAAGGGATGTCCCAATGGTCCCCTCAATCAGCCCACAAAATGGCTGCAACTGCCTCACCCCCACATTGCAAATGTGTGCTTCCATCTCCCATCTAATTCCTTTCCACTATTTTCATGGTTATTTGTGCTGGTCTCACCCAAATATTTTGGCTGAAGTTTTTAGAGGACCATGTAGGAATTATTCAGCTTTATCCTCCAGACTCCCTCGTGAAAGACATACAATGGAAGCACTTCCATTCTGGGGAGCTCACTCCATGAAGCCTTCACAAAATGCCATGCCTGAGCATATGAACCTTCCAGGAATAGTCTCTGAGGCAGCAAACTGCAATCCCACACTTTGGGATAAGCACAAAAAGACTATTTTCAGCTCCTTGTGCTGGACTTTACAGCAGACACTTGGAAGCACATCCTTCTGCCAAGGGAACAGCAGCATACCATGCAAGAAAGCAAACAGCTTGGGTTCACAATCCAAACACACCCAGAAATCGCTCAGAAACACAGATAAGTAAAATCACATGTGAAACTGTGGCAGCACAGAAACTGTACAGGACCTCAATGAGGTCCCTGTCTGTGATCCTCCTGGAGATAGGAGAGAACACTGAGTCACAAAGCAGGGGATGCGTGGCCCAGCCGCAGCACCCAGCACTGCTTTGCGCAGAGACCCACAAGCAGAAGGCAGGGGTCTGAGTTCAGCCAGGCTCTGGGGGGCCCAGCACAGGTATGCCCAGCCCTGCAGCAGGTCACACAGCAGTCTAGCCAGGATTGCTGCAAGCATCCTGCTTTCTCTCCTTTCTCTATCCCTGCTTCCCAGAAAGCTTCTGCTAATTCAACAAGAGAATCTTCTTTAGAAGAGATCATACATGTGCATATGATTTATAAAGAAACATTTGGACAAAAAAAAAAAAAAAAAAAAAAACCACACTGCAGCTTCACTGAAGGATACACAAGGACTTGGCTGGCATGGAATTCCCATCTCCAGGCTTTGGGGGCTATGGGACAGAGGCTTTCCTTTCACATGGCAATGCAGAGCCCTCAGAGCTCCCCAAAGCAAAGCCACCACTGAACTCATAGTACAGATGGGAATAAAGCAGAAGGAGCCCCAGGAACAAAGGTTCACCACATGACCACCTGTGAGAAATTAGCAGCTCAGGTCTGATCAAAACCTTTCAGCTGCTTTGACCCCATGCCCCAGCTGGAGGCAGGCTGTGGCACAACGCACCTCTCGGTGCATCCTTTGACAGCAAAGCTCAATACATGAGCTCCATTACAAGGTTTGGTCTTCACAGATTTTTGTTTTCACATCATAAGCTTCTGCCAATTATTTTTAAAGCAGAAAATGAGCACAATTAGGGGAATGAGAACAGACGAACCCTAAAACTAACAAATACGAGTCCGGCCTGCGCTGTCAGAACTTGCATTAATGGGTTTGTGTCCATTAGCCCATGTGCAAGTCCCAACCCAGCACCTCGTGCTCCAGAGATGTACCATGGCACTGGGTAACCATGTCAGCCAAAACCCCAAACTTCCTTTCTTAAAGGATGCAAAAGCAGGTCCTGCAGAACAGCTGCATGAAGTATTTTAAAGCTTTGCTTTTCTCATGGGGACGGTGACATTTCAGACATTGTTCCTCCTTCCATAGACAAACTCAAACCACACCAGTGGGAAGAATCAGAAACCTGGGAGCAAGTATCAGAGTAGGTGTCCAATTAATCATTTGTACAAAGTCAGCAAAAAAGGTAAGTGGATTTTCCCAGCAGCCTATTATATGAGGCACGAAGGTTTACTGCACAGAGACATCAAAGCCTGATGTGTTGTACAGAAACATTAACTGAAGGTTTTCTCTGTGTGCCATGAGATGCACACCAGGTTCCTGTGGTTAGTGGAGACCTCGTGACCTCTTGCAAGAGCTGATCACGGCATCCTGGTCAAACACCAATACCTTAATTACATTTTGGCTTCCAGTGTCCTTTGCTAGGTGAGTTCCCAGGGCAGGGTGCCTCGCCGGTGGGCAGCTCCAGCTGCTGAGGAGCTGGTTGGGTATTTAAGGCAGCTTAACACAAGCCTCCATACATATAGGCATATAGCTGCTATTGCAGATTCCAACTGCTTTGCGAGCATGATTTCTCCTTCCATGCCACAATGCTCAATGGACCTGCAAATAAACCAACCTCCAATTGCTGCCTCTCACTCCAGCATGAGCTCGCTAAGTACTTTAATTGGCAATACCCAGGATGCAGATGTGCTGAACATGGCCCATTTCCTTTTCCGAGTTATGCCAATAAAGGGAAAATGAAAGGTCAGAAACAATCACAATTAGAAATAATAATAAGAGCACAGGTTCCATCTTTCTCCTATAGGCACCTATCCTGTGTGCCACACACAGGATACAACAAAACTAATTGCAGATGAGTTCTCATAGCTTAGTTCAAATGTTGACTCAAACTCACGTAACCCTCTCAGTAGTTTGTGTCAAATTATCATGGAAGAGGCTACCAGGTGTCCTAAGGAAGATATCTGTTTGCCATCTCACTATGATTCATTAGCTCCAAGCTTCAGCCAGGATTAATAATAATCATCATAAAAAGCTGCTTAATTGGTCTAAAAGCAGTCATTTTCATTTTCTGTGAGGGTTATGCTCTTTTTTTCAGATGTGGTTACCTTCATTTTTCTTAGAACGGTTCCTTGTTTGCCTTCTCTCCCCTGCTCACAGGGCTCTTGTGGGCACTTGGATAGAGGAAGGTATCTTTAAAGTTAAAAATAGGAAACTGAAAAACCACACGCAGCTCCCAGTGCAGGGGGTGAGACGTTATCTGGGGCTGCAAGTCCACACAGCCCCTCGACCGCACCGTGCAGGACTGCGCTCTCCCCAGGGAGGCGACCCCATGTTCCTCCTGCAGTGAAACCTTCAGCTGCTCAGAGATGTTGGCAGCAGGAGAAGTTACAGCACAACGCCAGCCTGCTTTTCCATTTTTTAACTTTAATGTTCTAAACGTCTCTCCTAAGCCAAGCTATGCACCCAGGGCTGGGATGGAGCAGGAGTGGTGCAGCAGCTCATGCTGACCATGATGGAGAGCCAGCCTTGCCTTTTCCTCTCCCGGCTTTTAGAATTCCATCCTCCCTTTGGCATCCCACAAACAACCTCTCTCAGTTGAACACCGAGACCCATGCTGAAGGAGTGAGGCTGTACCTAGCAGCAGAGCTGACAGCCATATTCCACGTGGTGTTGGACCACCAGTGGCACACAACCATAGGAAACTCAGCCCGAAGCTGCACGTAGGGAAGAAGCACCCAGAAGTTACATTGTTATGTAAAGCGAGCAGGATCTAAAGTGCTGAAAATCAGTTCTGAGAAACCCACAATAGCAGGCAGAACACTGTGAGCCTTGGCCTGCCCAGTGTCACTCCTCAGCCTTGGAGAAGGGAAACTGCTGCTGCAATTTGAGGTCCATTGCTTGCATTCCTACACAGAAACTACTCTTGCAAAACTGAGCACATGGCAGTACCACCTTCCAGCTCAGTGCATACATCACCCACCCCAGGGCTGCCACAGACACAGCAAGGGGGTGGAAACCCAGTATACAGCCACAGCACTTGTTCCCTTTGAGTTTCTAAGCATTAGAAACATACCCCATAGGGTCATTGCCAGAGATCCTCAGAGTAGGTCACCACTCACTACACTGCCTACAATAATCTGAGAGCACAAAGCTCACCCATAAGAGCTCTCTGCACTCAAACACCTGAAAACAACACTTCAGACAGAACCCCACATAATCCCAGGAACCCCCCCTCAGGAACTTACCAGGAGCACCTTCCTCCTACAGCCAGACAGCCACTTCCTAATGGAGCCATAGGGAAATGCAGGCTGATAAGGCTGCACCCACACCTGCCAGCTTTAAATGTGCTCATTGGTAAAAGCTGGCACCAACACCCGGGAGAAATGAGTGATAACGGGGGAGGGCAACGCAGCTGCTGCACCTGCATCCAGGAGCAGAGTGCCACTAGATGGTGACAGTGCCTGCAGAAACGGAGCTAAAGGGGGAGAATCCCAGCACCAGTGAGTTGGAAATGACTTGGGAATGAGCAGACAGAATCTCTTCTTTGTGAAGGATAAGGTTTAACGTAAGTCATGTTAAGTCCAAGAGCTGCAGGAGGTGCTGGTTGGGCGATAAACTGAGGTGTTAACTCACCTGCATGGAGTGTATGAGCTGAGTTATCTCTGTATGGATGCACAAGAAGTCAATAACCTTTATTTGCCTTCACTGATCTGTGGCTGTTCCTCTGCACCTCTGACACCCAAAATGGAGCCAAATGAGGGCTGTGGGATTTGCAGCCTCTCCTAGGCAATGCCCCCCTCACAGGGACAGAACTTCTCCATCCCCACCCAGGCTCCTGCTGGTGCAGGTGCTGCCCTTGCAGGGCACTGGAGCTGGAGCTTTTGGGTTCCAGCATGTTCAGCACAAAATATCAGCAGTGCTTCAATTATATAGTGTGCAATTCAATAAGAATGGGTGGCTAAAAAATAATCCCTGAAATTTCTATGCTCCAATGCTGAAAACTGTACAGGAGAGCAGACTGAGCCATAAAATGGCTTAGGGTTGGGAGGGACCTCGAAGACTGTCCAGTTTTATTAATCACCTAAATGATGCACTAGAGAAAATGTAAGTTCCTCAATAAATTAGTAGCAGAGGAGAAACTTTATCTTGGTGTTTAATCATCTTTGTCATCTCTGATCAAATACCAATGGGTAAACAGAAGGGCTCGGTTTGTCTGGTTGTCTTCTTGTTGGTGTTTTCTTATCCAAATACGGCTACAAGAGAAGGAGACCGACTTGAAAGGAAAGGGAAGGACCCAGATTCTTACAAAGTGTGTTGTAACGTTCTGCCAGCCCTGTGCCTGCTCCCAGTTCCCTGCCGTGCAACACAGAGCACAACCAGAGCCATCACCATCATCACCACGGTGCAGATGGCAAAAGCACGGCTTCCTTCCTGTCACCCACTGCTCCTTCAGCCAGCAGAAACGTCCTCGTTTCTCCAAAATACACAGAATGTAGAAACAAAAGGATTTCTCCTCCTTCACGTTCACAAGGGCTTTCAGGTGCTTCTGCAAACACTGCTGCCCAGCTGTGGCTTTCTGCTTCTCCAGGCTCACAGAGCAGTTGGCACACAGATGCACACACTTATAGAATCATAGAATGGCCTGGGCTGAAAAGGACCACAATGCACATCTGATTCCAACCCCTGCTATGTGCAGGGTCACCGACCAGCAGCCCAGGCCTCGAATGCCTGCAGGGATGGGGCATCCACAGCCTCCTTGGGCAACCTGTGCCAGTGCCTCACCACCCTCTGAGTTATGTCACTGCAAAGCGAGGTATTCCCATTACAAATCCCCTCTGCTCGAAGGTGGGACAACGATTACTCATTTATAAACACAGCCTCATCTCTTTGTTTGAAAAGAACTCATTTTAGAATGGAAAAAAAAAATAATCAGTGAATTTCTTCACAAAAAAAAAAAAAAAAAAAAAAAAAAAAATTGAGTTTCAGTTTTACAGTGAGTGCAAAATACTCCGTTCTGACAGTTTTCACTTTTGTTATACATTGCATATATTTTCACAGTCCAAGACCCCATCAACCCGCATGGCTGCAGGGCCTCGAGGGGGATCTCTGCTGTCATTTCCTTTGGTGATCCCATTTGGTCTCAGCCAGCACTGCCCTGCAGGGCTGTGGGATGGGAGCTGGGGGTGGTGCAGTGGGTGTGGGTCACAGCCTGTGGATTCCTGGGCAGAGCTCTGCAAATTGCCCCCAATCTGGCCATGGTTCTGAAGAGATCTCATCGCTAGAGGCAGCACGTGAGCTGGCAGTGATCCTCCCAGAAAAGCAGCTTAAAAAACGTGATGGGAAAATATGGTAGCAATTTACAGATGGGTAAACTGAGATAGGATGGACATCGCTGCAAGACTCAAGGGGATGGAGGGCTCTGTGCAGAGCCACCAGATCGCTGGCTAGACAAGAGGGCTCAGATGCACACACGGGTGGCACAGAGCAGGGGGTGGTCCTGTGCTGAGCCCTGCAGCGAGGCACTGAGCACAAGATGGGCTGGGGTTGGGGTTGGGGTGCTGCAGCCCCAGCACTGCACTGTGGGGACTCACACGGTGCCATCAGTGTGGGGCTCTGTGTGGAGGAACGTGGGGTGGAATTCCCCTTTCCCAGCTAATCAGCTCTATCACTTGTATTGCAGTGGGCTCCAAAATTCCCTTTGTCACTGTGCAATAAATTTTGTCCCTGCATCGACTGAGTGCATCTCTATTTGGGAGAAAAGTGCTTTGCAGAATGGCCCACGCCCGCCTGCAGTAACGGGAGCGCTCCGTTATGGTAACCCTTGCTACTGAGATGACAATTATTTTTCCAGACATACAAAAACCAAAAATCATTTGAATGTTGCATCACATAAACAACCTGGTTCTCAGGCATGGACTCATTTATTCCATCCTGAAACAGATGTGCAGAGAATGATGACAAAGCAAAGGCAAGGGACCACCAAATAAATGCTTTCTGCAAGCAGAGGATCCATCCAAGCTCCATTACAATAATCTGCTTTATCCCAGCAGCGATTTCCACGCCTCCCCATCTTTCTGGCATGCACATGGAAAGATGTAGCTATAAAACATGAGCAAAAACGTCAGGCTAATTAAAGGGCTTTTATCTGGTTAAAACCATATCTCTTTTTAAAAACAGACATTTTCTTGCCCGTACGTCCTAAACAGCACCTGAGGTTACTGCAGCAGAAAGGAGTTGTACAAAGCAGATTTGCATGACACTGTTTATTGCCTCCTGTGCATTTTTTGCATGTCTCCCAGCACAGTCTGGCCGCTCCTACCTTTCTCCACCAGCACTTTCTAATCAATGGCATTTGCAGACTTGCCTGGCAGCAGAGCTGGGCTGGTGGTTGGGGCACAGCCAGACATCACTCCCTGCCACCCTGCAAAGCTGGGTGCACAGTTCCTGGAGCACATGCCCGATATCAGGGCACAGGGATGAGGTGCAGGCTTCCAGCTAGCAAATGTCACTGCCGCTCCTCAAGAAAAGCAACAAGACTACGAGCTGTGTGCTGCAATATAGGCAGTGAGGAACCCACAGGTGGGGTGCATGGCTTTGAAGGAAGGAGATGTGAAAGGGTATAAGGGTGCTGCAGTCCCTGGGGTGCAATGTAAATTCCGGCTTTCCGGGCAAACTCCCAGCTCTGAAACTGGAGTGACTTTATTCAGGCATAAATGCTCTGCTTTAAATAGCTTGGCAGTGCTTATCTTTCCATCTCAGCTATTAAGGGGCTCTTTGTGCTTCAGCAGACTGCCACTGGCCTGAGCGCTGCTGCTGCTGTGGCACATGACTGCTGTGTTTGGTTTTAGCCAAAACAGAATTACTCGCAGCAGCTGGAGATACTCATTTTCCTCCAGCAAAACCCTTGCAGGTTGCAGCCATCTTGGCTGGGTCTGCGCAGAGATGTGTGGGAGCAAAAGAAGAAGGCAGGACTGGTTTTGCCCCATCCTGACATATCAGGTTATAGCCTTGAAGATAAGGCATGGAGAAGCTTTGCATCCTCCCAAAAGCACACCCCAATGTGCCTGGTCCAGCAGAGCTGTCGGTGATTTGCCACTTGTGCACCTCCCTTCCCCCCCCAGCAAATCCCCTTTTGTTACCCCAAGTCTGAAAACCCAAGCCAAGGCTCTGCAGCTGCTTCTGAGCAGAGTCTGGAGAGCACCTGGTTAACACGAGCAGCCACTCTCTGCCTTCTGTGCTGTAAAACACTGCAGGTAGCCAAACGAGAGGATATTGGCATACTGAGAAGTCCTCCACTTCAAACAGATCCGATCCATCCCAGGCTAACAGAGCCAGGAAGATCGCCATCTGTCACCCAGGCTGGAGTTAGGCTGCACCCTAGCAATTTAAATCTGCAAGAATGCAAGAAAAAAATACAAAATATAGTATAGAAATGCGTGGTTTGGAATGGAACTCCCGAGCTTTGCACACACTGGTGGAGTTCAAAGCCTGGAGATGCACCCACTGGACATCCCAGGGGCCAGCAAGCACCCCGCTCCCAGGGGTGTGGTGTTACATTCTCCATCATTTTGCTCAAGCCATTAAAAACCCTCCATGAATCCAAAAGAATCTGTTAATCTCAACTGCTATGGATGCTGGAGCACACGCTCCTTGTGCACACGCTGATCTCCACCGAGATGAACTCATTTATGTCCTATGCATTACGGCATGGCCAACTCTACTGTCTGTAACAGAATCCACGAAAAAGCAAAACAATAATTCTCTTGTCTCCCTGCTGTAGCAGTAATCTGCCATCCAATTGCTAGGAAGCTTCCACAGCCATGAAAACACATGCTACTGTGTGCAGGCTGAAAATAGCAATGCCTACAATTACCGGGTAAAGCTCAGTTTGCCCTAAAACACTGTTTGGCTGTAATTACTTATATTTACCTAATTGCAACTTATCACACCCCGAATAAGAGGGATTGGCAGCACTTTCATGAAGATGCCTCGAAACATTGCAGCATTGTGCCCACAGCCCTTTGGGAATCGAGCACCAGCAGTTAATCCCATGTAAGCACAGCTGGTTCCCAGGGCTGGGCTGCCTGCTGCCCTGCCGTCTCGTGTCACCCCATGTCATGTCACCCCATGTCACGTCACCCCATGTCATGTCACCCTGCAGCGAGGGACCCAGCCACTGCCACAGGGCTCATGTCACTGCACTGGGTCAGTCTCAGCCCCCCCAGATTGCAGTCCTTTGGTGCAGTTTCATGGGATAACATGAAGCATCGATGCATGTGAATGCTTTGTGCAGCAGGAGCAA